CTTCATCCCTGGACCCCAGGATCATGACCTAAACTGAAGGCAGTCGCTTACCTGACTGAGCCACTGAGGCGCCCCTACTGTGTAAAATTTTAACTCGTGAAGGTGGTTACAGTTTTACCTTAAGACAGTAAAATCAGAAAAAATACATATTTAGGTTCAAATTATTTGAGAAAAGTGATTTTGTTATTTATTTATTTGGGGGGGAAGTAATTTTAAAATGTACTTATTATTTCCAAAAAAGAATGACTGTTAGCTTTTTTAATTAGGAAGGAATTTGAAATTAATTTTATCCTTTTTCCTTTTGATCAAACGACTTGTCTCTATTTTGAAACAACTTATGGTTTTTATTAATGCCATTCGGGCATCAGCCTGTTGACAAAATAACCAGGACTTCAACCAAAATATTTTAACTACCATATTCAAGACCCTGTATCTAGGGGATTAGAAACATGACTGAAATTCAGTTCTTATCCACAAGGAACTTAAAATATATAGTAAAGATAAGAAAAGTAAGTAACTTCCTTGACCTCGGTAAGGTCAGTGAGCTGAGTAGTAATAAATGGAGAAGCATTAGCATTTAGTTTGGGAGGTGGGGAGATTCTGTGAAGGCTATAGACATAGGTGGCATACAAGAAGATCTTAGAAGAATAAATTGGATTTTGAGAAGAATGGTAGAGGGAGAAGGGCACAGTGTTCCTTCAGGAGCAAAGGCACAGGGACAGAAAAGCATGAGATACTTTCAGGAAGCCCTCTGGTGGGTGGTTGTTAAGGAATGTGGATGGAAGGCAGTGTTTGTGGGCTTGTAAAAATAGGTGGTTTATGTTGCAGGACACATTGAACGCCAGTGTGGGAAGTGCAGTCACTGCTTGGGAGACAGTAGAGGAATTTTGAGGATTTTTAAGTGGACACTGATATGAACAGACCTGTGCTTCAGGAAGACCAGTTTGTCAGTACTGCATGGTACGGATGGAGTAGATGAACGTGGCAGTATTGTGCAGTAGGTTTGGCGTAGAAGCAAGAGAAAGTGGTAAGGTTAATAGTCTTGGGTAAGAATTATTGAAGATCTAAAAGGGATGGCAGGGGTAGAAATGGAAATAAATTTTATAGGTAGAAGCTGTGTAATTTAGCAGTTGATGATTAGATGGATAGAAGAAGCAAGTAGGTGTTGGCGGTCTGGTTAGTGTTTTGGTTCCTAGTTACAAATGCATGGTTCTTTATATCTAAATCCAGGACGTTTCAGCCTTTGTTGTCTGTTTCTAAATCAGTCAGCAGCATTCAACGCTTTGGCAGGCTTGGATAGAATACAAAAGAAAAAGGTTTTGTTTTTTTAACTTAAATATCTAAATATTCTATAATTGTCATTTTGGCAAACTTGCTTCTTCTATCTTCCCCTAACAAATTTCTTAACATTATCTGATACCCGATCTATGTTCAGACTAATCTGCTATCTAAGAAATGTTTTTTTTGCGGAGTTTCTTGATTAAAAAAAATCATTGCATTTGGTTGGTAACTAACACAAGTCTTTTTTATTACACCCCCCCATGCTATTTATTTTAAGAAACTGCGTGACATGACCTATAGATTTTTCTGTATTCTGGGTTTGGCTGATTGTATCTTTCAGGTATCATTTAAATTTTTCATTTGCTCCCCTATGTGTCCTGTAACTGGTAGTCTGAGCTGAGGCTCATTTTCTTCATTTTTTTTTTTTTAAGGGGGTGGGATAAGAATGCTTCCTAGGTGGTGCTGTGTGTTTCCCGCTGTAGTACATGTGGAAGCGTAGACCACCTAGGTGTCCCACTTTTAGTGATGTTAAGATTGATTAATTGGCTCAGTTACTGTCCTTCTAATCCTAGCAATAAAATGTTCCCACATCAACCAACCATTCATCTAGGGCTTTTTTTTTTTTTTTTTTTTTTTGTAGCCAGTCACGATTGTTGCAGAGAGCCTTTATATCAGTAGGGTTGGAAAATGGTGACATTCCAATTCTGTCATCTCTTCTGCAGTTATTAGCCAGACTTTTTTTTGTGTGTGAGAAGAACTTGCCCTCATTGACTATTTGGCTGTCCTGGAGTATAGTTTATATAGGATATACAGACTGGGTGTATGCTTACTTCTTTTGTCTGCCAGTTTTCAGAATAATGAGGCTTTTTAAAAGTATTATGAACTTGTGAATTTATATATTTGATGTTCTTCAATCCATTTGTGGTTTGTATGAACGTATTTATCTTTATGCTGTAATTCCATGTTTGGGAGCCCCTTTAAGTTGGCACTTGTGTCCTTTTGCCATGACTCTATTCATCTGTGTTAGATTTCTTGCTTGTGATCACAATAAAATGTCCCAGGATCATCTTGAAATTTCTTGCCCAGCCTTGGAATTAGCCATTTTTTCAAGGAGCCCAAGTTCAAAGAGTTTTTCAAGGCAATAGGAGTTTCACTTTGGGAAGCTATTAAAGAACAGTACAAGATAGAATGCAGTCACATGAATGTATTTACCTATGGATAAATGGACTATTGGATTCGAATACCTAAAAAGGACTATTGGATTTGAATGAAAAACTCAAAGATCAGTTCCACTATTCCAAGTATGGTAGGCATGAGGTAGTGAGGACTAGATTAGGCAGTGGCAGTGGGTTAGGGTAATGGCAATGGGAATGAGAGGAAGGAATTAATAGCAATATGTATTATGTTTTAAAAGTTTTGATATGGTATGTCATTAATAATGTTAACACTAATAAAAGGATTCAAAGAGAAAAACAAAGATGACTGCAAGATGTATGGTATGGGGTCAGATAGAAATGGGAAGATTGGCAGAGATTGCTAGTTTGGGGGAGAAGATAATGGAGCATGTTGAGTGTTCAGATGTGGCTGTATATCACAGTGAACTTTGTAGGGGGGGATTGAAATGTGTTCTATGTCTTGCTTTTTCTGAATACTTCATCCACTCTTTTGGCAAAGTACTCAGCTAGTGACTATAGGTGATGCTGTATTGACTGGGAGTGTTAATAACTCTAAACTTTCATTTGATAAATGTGATTACAATAAATGTTTGATATATTAAACAAGAACCATCTGTTTAATGTTAAGTGAAATGGGAAACAGACTGGAAAAACATCACAGCAAATATAAAAAAGATTAATATCAATAAATATTACAATTATTTGAAACAAAACCAAAAAATGTCAGCAAACCAGGCAAAGGACTTGAACAGATAATTCTCACAACTGGGAAATATACAGTTAACCCTTGAACAATGTAGACATTAGGGGGTGCCCTTCCCTTCCCCTCCCCCTTGTAGGGGAAAATCGATACGTAACTCGTGACTCCCCAAAATTTAACTGCTATCAGTCCACTGTTGACCAGAAGTCTTACTGATAATATAACGAGTTGATTAACAGACATTTTGTATGGTATATGTGTTATATACTATATTCTTACAAAAAAGAGAAAAGAATATGTTAAGAAAATTATAATGAAGAGAAAATATATTTACAATACTGTACAGTATTTGTCGAAAAAAATCCACGTGCAAGTGGACCTGCGCATTTCAAGCCCATGTTGTTCAGTGGTCAGCTGCAATTTATTAATTCACTCCTTCAGCAAACATTTATTGAGCTCTTTCATCAGGCACTGGTCTGAGTGGTAGCAAACAAGATCTCTGAGCTTTTGGACGGAGGTGTGAGAGATGGACAATAGCCGCGTTCCAAAAAAACAAGAATTTCAAATAGTGCTATTAGGAAAATAAGGGTAATGAGGTAGAGAGTGGCTTTTGGTTTTTATTTTGTTTTGTTTTGATTGATTTTTGCCTTTTCTTATTGGAAAGCATTAGTAGTTGTGCAGCTGTAGTTTAGGATTGCTAATCGCTAATTATGTGGGAAAAATGAGATTGAAGTTTTATTGGGGTTCCCTGATAATTGGACTTATATGTGGTTTTCTTTTCAGTTTTTTCTTTTGTTTGGTTCCTCTTGAAGACGTTTATAGAATGGATAGAGTGCAGATTGAGATCTTTCGTTTCTTGTGGAGCTTACGTGGGTTCTTTTCACAGAATAGTATTTATTTTGTTCTGTTGGGAGGGAAACTATTCCTCTGAAAAATGTTCACATTTTTCCCTGTGGCTTCACTCAGTAGTGAAATGTAGTGATATGATTTTGCCATGAGTCAGTGGCACATCTGAGGGTAGAACCTTCTCTGGAAACTTCTCTGCTCATAAAGGATGGTTTAAAGGGTCACATGAGATACATGTGGAAATTAAAGGAATCCCTGGGTACTTAGAAGTGGAAGGAGCTGCTGGAGCTTATTTTTGTCCTTTGCTGTTTAATTATATATCATGTAACTGAATGTTTCAAACTGCAATCGAAGTATAGGAAGTTCAGAGCATTTCTTTAAAGGAAGGTAATAAGGGGTTTTGCAGATGGGAAGTTACTTGTGTAAGGAACTCTCTTTAACAGATAAACATTTGTTGTTGTTTTTTTTTAAGATTTTATTTATTTATTTGACAGAGAGATAGCGAGAGCAGGACCACACACAGCAGGGGGAGTGGGAGAGGGAGAAGCCAGCTTCCCTGTGAGCAGGGAGCCTGATGTGGGGCTTGAACCCAGGACCCTGGGATCGTGACCTGAGCCGAAGGCAGACGCTTCCGACTGAGCCACCCAGACGCCCCAGCGTTTGGTGTTTTTCATATATTACTGAAGATTGATCCAGAAAAACAGAGAGCAAGAAAGATGCCTGTTACTTTGCAATTATATTTATTATTATTGTTACTATTATTATTGTTACTATTTTATTATTATTAAGTTTAGGGACTTTTTAGGTATGGGAAAGAGATATGGAATAGGAAAATAAGTTTCAGTCTTTAATTTTCTATTTGGAAATTTTTGAGAATAGAAGATCTATGGGAAGAAAAGGGATGAAGTTTTTAGAAACGGAAATAGAAATAGTCCTGAGACTTAGCCTGTGCTTTCTTTAATTCTGACTACCTGTGTGGGATTGCTTTCTTTTTCAAGGAAACTTGAACATAACTTCAAAAGAAGATTTGATTTTTTATTTCTGGACTGCATATATATAACAAGACCATCAGAATGTCGGGAGCCTCAGTGAAGGTGGCTGTGCGGGTTCGGCCCTTCAATTCTCGAGAGACCAGCAAAGAGTCCAAGTGCATCATTCAGATGCAAGGCAACTCGACCAGTGAGTTCATGTTATTTTCTATCAATTATATCTCATCTTCCTGTCCTCTTTCTTTCTTTCTTTCTTTCCTTCCTTCCTTCCTTTCCTTCCTTTCCTTCCTTTCCTTCCTTTCCTTCCTTCCTTCCTTTCTTTCCTTTCTTTCATGAGAGAGAGATAGAGAGAGGCAGAGGGAGAAGCAGGCTTCCTGCCTAGCAGGGAGCCCGATGCGGGACTCGATCCCAGGACCCTGGGATCGTGACCTGAGCCGAAGGCAGACGCTTAACCATCTGAGCCACCCAGGCGTCCCCTGTCCTTTTTCTTTTCCCTTACTGTGAACAGAATAAATGAACATTTGGATAGTAACACTTTGAACTTTGCTATTCTGAATGATCCACTAAATGGTCCCTGTGATATGATCCCTGTGATATTTGCTGTAGCATATTTAAATATGGACTGTTTATTTTGTTCTTTACAATTGAGAAATCCCTGGAGAACTACACTAATTTAGATCTTAATGATAGTAAAGGTATAAGCAGTGATTTTTTTACTTAATCATGATGTGAAATGTATCTATTGAGGCTCTAAGATTATTTTTCTTTCTTGATTTTAAATGGTACTTGAGCTTGCCAAGATGGTCTTAACTTACTCTCCTTCCTTACAATGGTTCTTTGAGTTGAACAACAGATTTAGCTACAATCAATAATAAACTTGTAAATTTATTACTAAGATTATAAGTAATAATTTGCTTATAATTTTTTTACAAATAAGAGGATTTATTATTGAAATTTAAGTCCTTGCTTTCTAGCTTCTTTCTTCATATATAATTGCTTAGGTGAAAAATGACTTAAGCTGGTTTATTTTGTACTTGCATTAATAATGCCTTGAAATGGATCTGTAGGCAAATTACTAAAGTAGCAGTAGGTTCTACTGTCTTGAAACCTACAACTTTGTGATAAAGCAGAATCGTTGCTCTCCCAGACACAAGTTAATGCTGAGTTGTTGGGGAAACCATTCTGATTTCATCTATTTGTAGGCCATTTGCCAGTGTTCTCTAGAGGATTCTATCAGTGGGAAATAAAATTGTATATATTTAAGGTGTACATTGTGATGTTCTGATATATGTATACATTGCAAAATGATTACCACAATCCACACTAATTAATGTATCCATCACCTCTCATAGTTACCCTTTTTTGGTGTGCGCGTGGTGAAAACACTGGAGATCTGGGACGCCTGGGTGGCTCAGTCAGTTGAGCGTCTGCCTTCAGCTCAGGTCATGATCCCAGGGTCCTGGGATCGAGTCCCGCATTGGGCTCCTTGTTCAGCGGGGAGCCTGCTTCTTCCTCTGCCTGCTGCTCCCCCTGCTTGTGCTCTCTCCCTCTCTCTCTCTAATTGATAAACAACAAACAAACAAACACTGGAGATCTATTTCTCAGCAAATTTTAAATATACAATACTTTATTATTAACTATAGTCACTATGCTGCACATTAGGTCTCCAGAACTTATTCATCTCAGGACTAACAGTTTGTATCCTTTGATCAGTATCTCTCCTTTGTCCCCATCCCTACCCTCTGGTAACCACCATTCTGTTCTCTGTTACTATGAGTTTGCCTCTTTATTAGATTTTTTTAAAGATATGAGTCCATGAATTATATCCTATGAGTAATTGTAAAAGAAAAAGATGCAAAATTTAGCATTGAATTGTACACTTTAAATGGGTGAAAGGTGAACTTTATAGGGTATGAAAATTTTAAATTTTTTTTTGAAGATTTTGTCTATTTACTTTGACAGAGAGAGACACAGCGAGAGAGGGAACACAAGCAGTGGGGAGTGGGAGAGGGAGAAGCAGGCTTCCTGCTGAGCAGGGAGCCTGATGCGGGGCTCAATCCCAGGACCCTGGGATCATGACCTGAGCCGAAGGCAGACGCTTAATGACTGAGCTACCCAGGCGCCCCGAAATTTTTAAATTTTTAAAGAAATGTCAGTATTGATCATTTGCTCCTTAAAGTTTGAGCTAGATTTGTAATTGAACTAGAGAACAAATGTTTGTTTGTTTGTTTATAAACAAATTTATTTATTTATTTGAGAGAGAACACAAGCCGGAGGGCGGGGGGAGATGGGAAGGGGCAGAGGGATAAGCAGACTCCCTGCTGGAGGCCCCAAGATGGTGACCTGAGCTAAAGTTTAGACGCTTAACCGACTGAGCCACCCAGGTGCCCTGAGAACAAATGTTTATGCTCTTAAATGTCACTCATTTAAGCTATGTTGTTACTTGTGCTTCATTTTAAGAGTTACATTTCACATAGAATATAAGTAAATCTTTGCACAGGGGCCATGCTGATTTGTAGCAGTCCAGTTTTAGTATATGTGCTGCTTAAGTGAACCCACTAAATCCTGATTATTGAGCTCTTGTTTCTCTCTGCAAAAAGTATTTAATTATAACTTAGTTTGGAGGCATTTTTGGCTGTTGGCATTGCCTCTAAAAATGCTGGTATGTATCACAAGTTCTTTTAAAAGGTAGACTTTAGGAAATCCTCGATCAGGAGCCAGAATTAATCCTAAAAAGAACTACTTTTCTCTGTGATATGTTTTGCATACTGAACTATCCAGGAGAAATCCCCAGTGTCATGGGTATCTGTTGCTACTTTACTTATAGGGTTGCAAATCTTACTAAAAACTTGTAAGTAGAGAATGAGTATTAAAAGGCCATATTCATGAAATGTGAAAATCAATTTATTATATAACAAAAACAAATGGAAAGTTTTATTAATATAAATAATGATACTAGTGTTTTTTTTCCTTGATGACAGATCATTTTAGAATGCCCACATCTTAAATTGGCTATAAGTTTATATTCATTGTCAAAGTCAAATAGCATTGTGTTCATTTCCCCACAGTTTTTTTTTTTTTTTAAAGATTTTATTTATTTATTTGAGAGAGAGAATGAGATAGAGAGAGAGCATGAGAGGGGGAAGGGTCAGAAAGAGAAGCAGACTCCCTGCTGAGCGGGGAGCCCGATGCGGGACTCGATCCCGGGACTCCAGGATCATGACCTGAGCCGAAGGCAGTCGCTTAACCAACTGAGCCACCCAGGCGCCCCCCCACAGTTTTTATTTTTGTGATTAGGTGAAACCTTCATTCACGTGGTATAAAATTCAAAAGGTACAAAGAATATACAGTTAAAACACTTCCTCTCATGTAGAGGACCAACCTGTTCCTCTCCCCAGAAGCAACTTGTGTTTCATTACCCTTCAGAGATAGTGTAAGCGGCAACATCTTTTTCTAAGATAGTTTTTTTACCATTTTAATTAGTGGTAAGTTATAATATTAGCTTATTTTTCAGTCTTGACTGATTTGTATGTTTTATTTATTTCTTACCCCTTCCCCCAGCAGCGTATGTTTTAAATACCTGAATAATACAGTTCATGTTTATAATTTGTAATAGTTGTTTCCTTTGAGATTTTAGCATGAAAGAATATCCGTGTAAATTAATAGGGTTTTATGTCTACTATATATATAATGGTATGCTGAGTACTAAATAGAATACCAAAAAAAAAAAAAAAAATCAACTGACCATGTAGGAGAAGAACACTATTATAGTATGTAGTAAAATTGAAAGTTTTTCTGTAGTTCTGGATAGTTTGAGAAATAGATCTGGGTCTGCTAGATTTTCTGACTTTGCTATTTTTTTTTTATCATACAGATTAAAAGCTCATAAGAAATTATTAATGGATTACAAAAAAGGTGTTAGAGCTCATTGTTTCTAAGATCTATAGATTTCTTTTTGACCTTGTTGTTTTGGTTGTATAGAAAATACTGTCAATTTAGGGGAAAAAAGTAAAATTATCCAAATATGTTATTAACTCTGGATAAAGAATGTCAAATTTTTTCACTTGTAGTAGGTAGCAAACTGAAGGAGAAAATAAGATCCCTAGTTGTATGCCTTCTGAGGATAGGGCCGTAAATTTTATAGTTTGTGAGGATATAAGTTCTTTTTTTAAAAATTTTTTTTAAATGTTTTTATTTATTTATTCATGAGAGTCAGAGAGAGAGGCAGACGCAGAGGGAGAAGCAGGCTCCCCGCCTAGCAAGGAGCCCGATGCCGGACTCGATCCCAGGACCCTGGGATCATGACTTGAGCCGAAGGCAGACGCTTAACCATCTGAGCCACCCAGGCGCCCCGAGGATATAAGTTCTATTCACCAATCTTGCTTATCTCCCACAAAAATCTCTCCAGAATTATTGGATATATTGATTTATCTTTTTATGAAATATTAATGAAGAAATGACTAGTTTTTATTCAAAGTAATAATTTGGTTATAGTAGGCCTGGGCATATTGTACTAGTCATATGAGAACCAATCTTTGGACCATGTGAAGCACAGTGCTGAACTCCCAAATGGTTTTTCATGATATTTTGTTCAAAACTGTTGTAGACAACAGACTGGGTGGCTCTGCTCTGCCTTACCCTTTCTTTTCCTTTCTCTTTTGAGAGTTTGCTCTAATGTGAGTCTATAGGAATCACAGAGTTGTATGTACTATAGGACCCTGCCTTTAAGAGGTTTAAAAGTGTGTGGTAGAAGACACAAGACATACTGAAATAAACTCAATAGAAAGTAAAAGTGATCAAAGTGATAATTGCCATAAACAAGGGTTTTTAAAAAGTGCAGAAGTGAGTTTGGCAAAGGGCACATGTAAGATTTGTAGATGATAGGGCATTTCAGCTGGACCTTGTGGAATAAGGAGGATTTAAACTAAACATCCAGTATGTTTGGGGAAAATGTCAGAATTGCAGCTTTTTAGAACTTATCAGTGTTAGGACTAGACATGGTATTCCTGACCTTCATCTGGCTATACCACATTGCCTCTCTGCACATAAACATTTAGCAGGAGAAATTTGTGACATACATGCATACATACATTTATTTAATTCATTTATTGACTTTTTTTGAAAGTAGGCTCCATCCCCAGCGTGGGGCTTGAACTCAACGACCCCAAGACCAAGACTCGTGAGCTCTAC